TACTGCTTTTATTTTTCTTTCTCCCCAAGGGTCAAGGGAGAAAGCCAGCAGCATCCGGGAAGCTGCTGTTACCAACTTCCAGTTAGAGCAGGGGGCAGTGGAACAGGCACCCAGGGAAGCTGTGAACTCTGCAACACTGGAGGTGTTCAAGAAGATGTTGGTCAGCTATCAGTCAAGGATGTGCCAGTGCTCCTGCTGAGTCTCAGCCCCAGAGGATCCTGGCTATAGGGTCTTGCTCCTCTGGCTCAGGGTCAGACCAATGCTGCACTGGGGTCAGGAATAAATTTTCCTTTGGTCAGATTAGTACAGGTGGGGGGTGTTGCCTTTCTCTGCAGGGGGGCATGTCCTCTGCCTGGGATCTTGCAGGGGCTGCACTAGGACAAGCCCCACAGATAGTGCTAGCTGACACCATGCAGCCTGGCAGTCCTGTGTTGCCACCAGGCCCCCACTCCTGTGTTCAAAGGTTCAAGTCAGGTTTGCTTTTGGGTGGGAAGGCTTTCCACCCTTTCTGCTTGGGACCAGGAAGTCCCCTTTTCCCCAACCCCAACAACATTGCGGGGCTTGCTTGCTTTTTTTTCACAGAAAACATTTGATTTCATGCTTTCTGTGGAAAAAATGCAGTTGTGAATTGAGTCAGTCCCTACATACAGGGGCTCGTGTTTTGATGCATCAAATTCTACTTCAGCCTCCAGACCTTGCATTCAAGTGTAGAAAAGATGCCGAAGAGTGCAAAAGTCACCTTTAAAGAGCAGGTTGCTCAGTTTGTCAAGGATACATTTCATGCTGATGGTACTTTGCTGTTCTGCGCTGCATGCAGCAAGGCTGTAGATCACGTTGGAAAGCAGACGATTGTAGAACACATGGAAGGTGCTAAGCATAAACGGAATGAAAAGAGATGAAGAGAAGACGCTAAAACAGAGCCATCAACAACAATAAAGAAATAACGTGATGTGGTTGCAGCATTCCAGTGCTTTACAGTTGCCAAAGACCACCATGCCACCGTCACTGGATTTTGTTCGGATGTGTTTTAAAGCAGACTTTCCTGTGACTAAAATGAACTTAATTGTTGTCAGGGATTTTTTTCAGCAAGTATGTTAAGGGAGGCAGTGCCATTCCCACGTCGGACCAATTGCATTCCCACCTACCAGCTCTTTTTTTGAAGAGGAAAAACAGTACTTTCTTAATGACTTTGAAGGAAATGTCATTGCTGTAATCGCCAACAAAACAGCCGACTCTCAAAATACAGCAGTTTTCAACGTTTTATTTCAGTTGCTCAAGGTACATCCTCCTAGGCATGCTAACATTCCTCCTGCACCACTGTTAAAGACAGGGTGCCTGGGGATGGTTAATCATGCCACCATTTTGGAAACTTGGATTTCTTGTATGGTGGAATTCAGCATCCCACTTGAGCAAATATTAGCATTTGTAACAGACAGTGCAAGCTACATGGTGAAGGCTTGGAACAACTTGCCTTGCAATCTGTGGTCAAACTCTGTACATGTTTGATGCTATGCACATATCGTTGCTCTGGCAGGAAATAGTTGGCGAGATACCTTCAAGCAAGCAGATCGCTTTGTTGCTTTGAAGTCACTTTTAGCGAAAGCTCCAGCTTGTCGTGTACGGTTCTTGAGATACCTGAAGGAACAGAGTGTTGATTTGCCAACACTTCTACCTGCACCAGTTGTGACCAGGTGGAATACATGATTCAGTTGTTTAAAGTACCATACACAGTACTGCCTGCTCAATCGTGTGTTTGTGGAGCATGAATAAATAGAACAAAAGGATACATCTGTTCTGCGGGAACTAGCCAGTCTGTTAGCGGTAGAAGACCTGCACGCTGACCTGAAGTATGTTGCAGAGAACTGTAGATGCCTGGTGACATTTTACAGTCCCAAAAGCACTCCTGTAGATACACTAGACACTTTACAATCCCCAAAACACCAAGTGTACAACAGTGTCCTGCATTTAATTTCATGGCTGGAGCATCTTGCATCATCAACTGATAATGCGAAAGGGTTTGCAGCTATTCAAAGCTCTGCTCATAAACTGAGATAGTACAACATAAAAAGTAAACAGCCAGCAGTTGATTTTTCTCCATGCTGTTTGTGCACTGGATCCTAAACAAATTGGTGCTGTTTATACAGATTATGAAACTGAAACTGGAATTAAAGCTGTCCAATGAATGCAACATGGAATGGCCAGTATATTTAGAGATTGTCAAAGAGAAGTTTGGAGATGTTGAGGATCCTATTCAGTTCTGGATGGCTGTTGAAGATCGCATTCCCAACCTGGCAAAATATGCAGTGGTTCTCCTCCACCTGACTGTAAATTCAGCTGATGTGGAAAGAAGTTTCAACAAAATTGGGGTTCCTTTTAGTGCTCAGCACCAACATCTGAAAGATGAAAATTGTGGCTGGAATGCTGCAACTCCTGGCAACATCTGGTGGGATGTTGACAAGACTGTAGAGGAGGGGAAGATCCCAGTAGGCCCAAGGAGCAGGGGGTCTGAGAATAAGTGAGTGGGCTCGGAGGGCTGAGGAGTGCAGACAGCCTGACGGGGCTGGACTGCAGAACTTAAGCCTTACAGTTTGGAAGTGCTTTAAGCCAGCATTTCTCAACCCGTGGGTTGTGACCCAAAAGTGGGTCACAAGAAGATTTCAGAGGGTTGTGAGCCATGGGTTGAGAAACACTGATCCTGGGAAAGTGCCAAGACTACAGCACGGCAGAGTGGTTGTGGGAAGATGCCTGCCCCTTCCAGTGGGGGAAGGGGCTGGGGAGAGCTGTGAGGCTGCACTGGGTGCTCACAGGGGCTGGGCAGCCAGGGGATGCTACTTGGTGGATGGAAGGGGCTGTGACTAGGCTACCTGCTGCAGCATAGCAGCCCCAGCCCAGGGCAGGGACTGCCACAGGCCTCCCTTCCTCCTTCCTCCAGCCCGTGCCAGGGCTGGATTTGCTCTGCTGCCACCCACGTGAGCTGGAGCCACTGCACTGTGGCCTGAGTGGGACAGGGATAGCTGGGGGCTCCTCCAGCAGGGCTGGGGTGGGGGACAGGGGCCTGCGGGTTGAGAGCGAGGGACACTAGCATGGCCCGGGGGTGGAGGGGCAGGCCGGGCCAGGGACTATGGGTTGCACACCAACAGGGCTGGGGGTTGTGGGTCGGGACAGGCCATGAATCTCTGCAAATGGGTACTGGTAGGAAACAGGTTGAGACCCACTGCTTTATGCTGTACTTTGTGTTTCTTTCCCCTTAGTCCTGTAATAAAACTGGCTTTTGTTTGGTACGTTGCTTGCAAGGGAAACGTTTGTCCATTCAGGATACCCCAGTTTAAATCTAGTTGTCCCTAGCTTCTGGGTGGGTGCCCGAGCTGAAGCTAACATTATTTGGGACACTCCCCTCCTGCCCCCAAACTTGAACTTGGCTCTTATTGCTGCCAACAGGTGCAGGGAGCAGAAAGCAGGGGTTAGCACTGCTCAGAGCCACAAAGCAGCAGGGGGGACAGCTGCAGCTGGACCAGTGTTCACGTGCAGGGGGGGTGTTGCTGCCAGGAGGGAGCAAGTTGGGGGTGGGCAGAGGCTGCGGGTCAGGAGTGAGGGGCACTGGTACAGGTGTGGGGGTTGTGGCTTGAGAGTGAGGGGCAACAGCATGGGCATGGGTAGGGCACTGGCATGCTGCCACAAAGCAGCAGGGGGAACCTGCAGTTGGACCTGGGTCCTGGTGCAGGGGGGAAGCTGCTGCTAGGAGGGAATGAGTAGGGGGTAAGCAGGGGCTGTGGGTCTGGAGTGAGGTTCACTGACAGGGTGGGGGTGGGGGGGTGTGATTTGGGAGTGAGGGGCATCAGCATATCAGGGCTGCTCAGTGCCACAAAGCGGAGGGGAGGAGAGGAGACATCCGCAGCTGGACCCTTGTCCTGGTGAGTAAAGGGGGCAGGGGGAGTTCTGATTTCCCATGATAAAAAAAACAAAATCAAACAGCAAAATATATAGGTCTTTATAATTTATTTTATTATACTGTTTGAGGAACCAGTAGGCTTATAAATTGCTTTAAAACTGTAAATATATCAATAAAACATTTTGTTCAACTGAGATAGATAGATAGAGGCATTCCACTTTAATTGTGAAAAAATTCAGATTTGGATATATTTGTCAGAGAATTTTGGATTTTTTTTTTTTTTTTTTAAGAGAGACGCTCATTCCCACCTCTTAAATCTTTCTGTCTTGCTCCACATGAAGCCTGATTGTTTAGGCTAAGCAGAGGGGATCATAGTTTCATAGTTGGTAGGGTTGGAAAGGACCTGAGCAGATCATCAAGTCCGACCCCCTGCCATGGCAGGAAAGAGTACTGGGGTCAAACAACCCTGGCAAGGTGTTCATCCAGCCTCCTCTTAAAGACCCCCAGGGTAGGAGCCAGCACCACTTCGCTTGGAAGTTGGTTCTAGATCCTAGCCACCCTGACAGTGAAGTAGCGCCTCCTGATATCTAGCCTGAATCTACCGTCTGCCAGCTTGTGACCGTTATTTCTTGTCACTCCTGGTAGTGCTCAGGGGAACAGGGACTCCTCCAATGCCTGCTGGTCCCCTCTGACTAGTTTGTAAACGGCCACCAGATCCCCCCTCAGCCTTCTCTTGTGGAGGCTGAACAGGTTCAGGTCCCTTAACCTCTCCTCGTAGGGCCTGCCCTGCTGACTCCTGATCATGCGGGTGGCCATCCTCTGGACCCTCCCCATGTCCACATCCCTCCTGAAGTGAGGCACCCAGAACTGGACACAGTATTCCAACTGTGGCCTGACCAGTGTCGCATAGCGGGGGAGTATCAGGATTACACCACACAGTCCTAAGTCTATAATGTTGCCTCTGTCCTGCCTGATGAATTCAGCTGAATAATACAATCTTCTTTTTAAAGATCCCCTAAGTTATACTCCCTTTCCTGCAGGATCATTTTTTCTCTTTTGAGTGCCTTGGTGTGTCATACTTAAAACAACTTTTTTTTTTTTTTTGTTACAGCTGAAAAAGACTTGTGTTGTTGATTGTACCCACATTGCCAATTTATTGCATGAAAATCTTTAGATGGAATTTAAAATTGAACACACCTGGGACAGTTTACCTGTGAGCCATGAGCCAGTACATATCAGGCTGAAATTGAGTGATGGAGGATTGTTGATGGAAATAAGTGCTCCCTTCTTTAATGATCCTCCAGCACCACTCCGCGAGCCAGGAAAGCCTTTCAATGGACTGTGGAACTATGAAGGTAAGAGGAAATATTTTATTGGAAACATAAATCTTGTGTAATACTAAAGCAATATATTTAATTTATTTAACAGTATAGACGCTGTGCAGTTGATGCATCTAGTTTTTGTTTTAAATCCCATGACAAGCTGTTTCACCAATCTAGTCTAGCATGAACTGACAGATATATGAAATCTATTAGTTACAATTCAGTGTCTTTCATCAGAACAGTTTCCCTTTAGAGGCAACAAAGTCTGTAAGATGATATATTAAACGCACTTTCTGCCACTACTATCCTGAGGACTCATGAAAAAATAATGATTGTGATTGCTTATTTAAAATGACACCTTGCATTTTGAAAGTTCTTACAAATTCAACATTTGCATGTTTATAGTTAGTGAATTGTTCTTATAAAACATTGTGGCTGTATTCTTGTAGTATGTGCTATAATGCATACTGGTTTGGGGAAAAAAGTGAATAATTATCTAATTGAATGATATGAATATATGAGGCAAATAGTATAGTCATTAGTATAATTCTGTTAATGCCCCGTTGAGCATTCAGAATGCAGTTTTGTCTGTTTTAAAATGCTTTATTTTTGTTAAAGCTTAGAAGGATATTGTCACAAGATCTTGAAATAAGGATCATAGTTTTTATGTCTCTTCTTGATGATGGGTTTACGGGAATAGTATAAACATATTTAGAAATGAAGAAGTTTAGTGACAGTTGTTAGAGCTACAGAAATACTTGTCCTGTTGTTGTTTTAAAAAAATGGGACGGCAGCAATTTAAACCACCGGTTAGCAAATTTTGATCATTTAGACAGGTAATTTCCAATCTTGTCTTGGCTGGAGTCTATTTCAGAAACAATAAACACCATAGACTTATACAGCCAAGCAAAATTGTAATGTAAACATAGTTTACAAACAAAGGTAAATTTTGCTCATGTGTATAATGCAAAATTATATTAAAATTTAGACAGAAGAGTACCATATTTACTTGAATACAAAATGAAGTCCCCCCCCGCCTCTCCAATGCATGATATTGGACTAATATCGTGCATAGTTTTGTTTGTTTATTTATTTGCTTGTTTTTTTTATTTTGCATCTCAAGCCAAATTAACTCCAAATTCCATTGACTGAGCAGAAAGAACAGAGTCGTTCAGGTCCATGTGGCACTACCACTGGCAAGTATCCTCCGTCCCAGAGTGAATAGGCTAGGGTTTCATATACTTCCAAATCTATGGCAGGCATCCTACATGCAGGCCCCAAGCCTGGAGGTCTTTGAGTCTGGATACCCCTGAGTTTTGCTTGCCCTTAGCCCGAAGACCAAATAAGCTGGGGACGAATTGTCCATTTCCATAAAATAGGCGTGTAGCTGAGATCCTTCCACTACATATAAGTAGGTGCCAAGGTGCTGCTCAGAAATATGTTTATGGAGTACCTGTGCTAAAAATAGCAACTTTTTGGAACTGTAACATTCAGTCTGGATGACCTAAGTGTAAACTATATGCAAATTGCTACAGCCATGTTTAATTAGAAGATCACTGTGTTTAAATTGGCTTATCACTTCCATGCGCTCAGGGAGACAGGGTTTGACAGTAAGGAGAGGGGGAAGGGTCTGCCAGGGTAAAAAGTTGAGGGGAAGCAGAAAGCAAAGGGGCTACCTAACCCTCCCATATTTATTTTCCCTGCTGTAGCACTGAGAGGGGGACAGATTCAAGGCAAATTTACAATGATCAGATTCTATACCTGGAAAATTATAACGTTTATACATGTTTCATCAATTATTGAGTGGTCCTGTTATAATCAGGGTCCCCTTTCTATTCAAGTAAATATGGTATTTCTTGTTCCAGCTGTTTTAAATAATCTAAAGTCTGATATACTCCCAACAGTGCTCCATCTTCAGCTGTGGTGAGAGGAGTACACATGTTAGTACTCCACAAAAAAGTTAACATGCAGTCTGTTACAAAAGTCCAGAAAGTGGAGTCATGCAAAATACAATCAAACTAATTTAAAGAAATTAATTGTAAATTATATTTCGTCCATTCTATAACTGGAATTAATAATCTGTTTCCTGCTCTGGAAAAGTACTTGTAATGAGCCAATTTGTAGTATACTATAAATGCTGTGCTTTGACTATGGCTGATACTGCAGTAAATTAAGTCAGTATTCACATTTTAGAATTCTTTGCTGAAAGTGGCTATGTATTTGGACCATGAGAATCTTTGATGATGATATTGATATACCTTACATTTGATCAAGTGAAGAGTCATTCAGTAAGGGTAGCCTACCTCCAAATACATTGCTCATCTGTCCAGAAGGTTGTTTTTGGGGAAAGCAACTTCAACTCAAATGCTTCATCACCTGGCTTTGCTCTTCTCTGAGGATCACTGCAATAGCAAAACTTAGCAGCTGATTTTTATGTCCACATTGCTCTTTGTGAATGCTCTTGTTTTCTTTTTTCCCCTTAACTGTTTTTTAATTATTATTATTTTTGGTCTCATCTTTCATGTTCAAGTCATCAGCGTGGGAATTTGAAGCACCATGCACTTTCAACTTAAGTGGGTTGTAGTGGTTTTTTTTGTTTTGTTTTGTTTTGTTTTTTAGAGTGCAGTTGACTATCATCACTTGGGTCCTAGTCAGTTGTTCTCACAGCAGGTATGATTTGATAAAATGTGTCTATGCTAGTACTGCTCCTTTCCCATTGATACCTAACATTAGTTAGCAGAGGCACAATTTTTATAGAGACTACAGCTTGAGAACCACTGGATGTGATGCAATACAATTAAATTAAACCAGAGCTTTTGACAAATAAGAAGGTTGAAGTATGGTTGTTGTAAAAAAGGCACTGGCGTTCTAAAATGACTTTCTGGCCGGCACAGTGCTCAGGTTTGGAACCTTCTGATGGTGTATTCAAAATGTAGTACAGTTCTGTAACCTGTAGGTCAAACTACTGTATGAAAACAAAATAAAATACTTTAGTGAGAAATAAGGTTTAAGGGGTAGAAAGAAGTAGGTAACCACTATTTTTGTACTGATGGTGCATGTATTTTTCAAGTTGTAGAAGCATTTTTCTTGTGTGAGAGAACTAAGCAGTACCTGGAAGTTGAACTGTGTCCGTAAGTACAATGCTTTCTTTCTTTTTTTTTTTTTTTTCTTTTTTTAATAGCTGATATTTTCAGTGCCATTGTAGCTGCAGTCCTAGAAGTCACAGTGATACATAAGAAGGAGAGGGCAGCATAAGTGTAGCAAGAGCTGTTTCAGCTCTGTAATATTTGTATGTTCATATTTATAGATGCAAATATGACTATATTTAATCTATATTACTTTAATAACATTGTTTTATTTTTTATTTTTACTAGCCATGGACAGCATTTGGTACTCTTGCTTTTTGGCAGAAGAAGAGTATGGAAAGTGAGTGATAAAATACTTTCCATAAACTATGAAAGACTATCTTTTTAGACAACTAGTTGTTTCATGATTGCTTGTAAGATATGATGGACTATCTGCATCTTTTTGCTTTTTTCTTAATGTAGCAAGAACTTGCTTTAACATTTGAAGTGTGCAGAACAGAGACCAAATGGGAAGGCAGAGCTCATCTTCCTTGGAGTTATTTTCCGCCAAGCACAGACAAATTTAATGCATTTGCAATTCATGGCTCTGAAGATAAGAGAACATATGAAGCACTTTATCCAGTGCCTCGGCATGAAATACAGGAAGGACAGAAACCAGACTTGTAAGTAGAAAATTACCTCATCTGTATCACAGTGTATCCTAACAGTCTAGGAGATTTTTGCGTAAAGGAGTTAATTGTTCTTTAAAAAAGCTAAGACTACCACTGGTGCTTTAATTCTGTTGCTGAGCCGCAAGCACTGTATAGAGTACTATATAATATTTAGAACTCTGTGGCAGATAAGCTGTAACAAGTCACTACTTTGATTCTTGTTGCTGTCCCCTACATTCATATCAAGTGAGGAAATGAACCACCACTTGGTGTCTGTTGTATTACCTTCCTCAAGCTGTTGTTCCACTTTTCCCTAACTAAACACCCCTTGAAATGCCAGCTGTTGATGATTTTATTAGATGAATTTCCAATGGATCACCTTTTTGTTCATCCCCTACAGTGTTTAGGGCCTACACAGCCAGGTCTCTACCTAGTGTTTCCTGTCTTGGAATTGATTCTAAAAAAAAAAAAAAAAAAAAAAAGCAAGCATCAACTGAATTACTTGACATTAAAGAAACTGACATCTGTCATTGGAGCAAATAACAGGAACTTTACGTTACCTGGACTTCATTTGGGGGGGCATATCGGACAATGAGAATGAAAGTAGGTTAAGGTTACCCCTATAACAATTATTATTGTGTGTAGTAAAAGCACACTACTGTAGAAGACTCCTGATTATACATTTGTAATTTTCTTAGAGAGACTAATTCCTCAAAACAAAAATTTCTTCACCAAAATAATAAGCTTATGCTCTACTGAATTTTGCCATATTTTCAGTGCCAGATTTGCAGAATTTTTAACTTTTCTAGTATTATTTATTTGTAGACCTTGTTCTCAAAAGTCTAGCATAGAAAGGCATGGAACGCTTGTCACTGTCCCGGAGTAAGAAAAATAAAGATTAAACCATTAGTATATCCTGACTAGATTGCATTCAACCAATTTTATTCTTTATATTAAGACAGTCACCTGAAATTCATAACCCATGGGAACTTACCCTTCTTTTAATTTACTTACAGCCATCACTTGGAACTTTTCAAACAATTTAGCCTGAAGGCATTAATGGGAGAAGATTGGAGGCAGCCTGAATCCGATCTCTGGATGTCATGCAAACATACTGATTAGCAAAGCAGGATGAGAAATTAGATCTTTGCTCTGATTAGGGGGGAATGAAGCTGTAGGGCCTCATCTCTTCAGCTAAGTTTCAGTGGTAAGAATTCCAGTGTGTTACTGAAATTAATCGTGTTTGACTTCTCTTTTTTTTTTTTTTTTTTTATCCTTGGCCACTTTCAGCTTGGCCTTTTTAGCTTCAGGCCTACTCAGGTGAGCCCTTCACAGGGCTCCATTTCCAGTTTCCTTTCTGTGGGGGCCGAGGGGGATCCGGGAAAGGGTCGGCTGGGTTGTGGCCACAAACCCGGTACGTACAGATGGGTACTTTCGACCGCTGGAGTAGAATTAGGCACAAACGCGTACTGGTTCAAACAAAGATGGCTTTACTTACACTGTTGAGATGTACAGCGTAGGAAGAAAGTTAACTTCAAACTTCAGTTACAGTTTAACCGAGGAGCTCTGATTCGACGAGATATCTTTAATACGAGCATGCAGGACACGGGGGGGTACGTCGGGGTCGGTCGGCGACGGGGAGTCGTCAGCAGTTGATCAGTTCGCCACGTTCACTCTGAGATGGGCGCGGAGTTCTCCAACTTGGGCAGAAACTGCTCCAACCTTTTTATACGGCTAGCGAGCCAATTGCTAGTCGCCACGTAGGAATAATTTAGAACCGGCCAATAGTAATGTGTGAATTTGCATATGGGTGGCGGGAACCTTTCCACGCCGGGGTTCTCCACCGTGCCGAGAAATTCCCTCGTACAAAATCTCACCGTGCCTTGTGCTAGAAAGTTCCACTGTGCCGAGGCACTCAACCACTAAGCTCTGCTCTGACACTTTCCACCAGCCTGCCATTATCCTAGCCCAGAGTTGACTGCTGATCATCTCCTAAACATTTTAGGACAGAAGAAGCAAGTATGATCATCTGACTTTCTGTATAACATGGCTGTTACATAGGCCTGAGGGCTTTTTATTTTCTTGTTTCCACATCAGTTCCATAACTGCTGTTTGACCTGTAGTATGTCTCTTAAAATAAATAAATAAATAAAATTAGTATTGATTTGAAGACTTCAAGTGTTGGAGATCCATCACTTTGAAGGTAAGGTTCCCTTACCCCTCTTGACTTAAATAGTACTCATTTAATGATTGGTACCTCACTTCACTATATTTGTCTATTCAGTCTAATTATTGTATCCCATTCTGTCTTTTTGTAATAGATTAAAGATCTATTTCTTGCAAGAAATTGCCACCTCCTTTTCTTTTTGTTCATGTGCTTGAGGATTGTAGCTCTATGACCTAGGAAAATAACTAATGTTAGTAGCATCCCCTGGACCTCTGCTGAGTGTCTACTCAGCATATGACGCCAACTGCTGTTGACTTTCTAAATGATGTAGGGCAAGTCTCTGGAGTGTCCTCTTCCTCATTTTATTTATCTGTTTTCCACTGTTCCTTGAGGAGGTATGGATGAAAACTTTATTCCTGTTTTTTTACTGTCAGTCTCTGTTATCTGAACACTGTGTGGATCTTGGCCAGTTCCTGTTCATGGAAAGAATGGAGAATGTGTGTACACAGTTTTAATGGGCATGCAGTTGCACTGAGTCTATAAAAATGCTCGCTTACATATATCACTTTCAAAAACAAAGTATTTCTTATACTTTGTTTATTATAAGGCAAATACAAGAATTTGCACCTCTACCTTGTACCAAAAAGGCTCTACTTTGTCAAATACTGTTGACTCTGGTTGTTAAAAAGATAACTGCTCTCAAGTTGGGAAGAAATGTACTATATATCTGCAGACTTATTATGCCTTATGGAGTCCAAAAGAAGACATTTTACTTCATATAGCGCAGGGGTGTCCAACCTTTTTGAATGTGGGGTTGGATCACGAACTTTTTACCCCCCAGGGGGCTGGAAAGCCATATTCAAAGACGTCACAGTAAGTGGTATCATATCAGGAAGTGATGTCATGTGACCTTTGACACCAGTGAAGTTGCAGGAGTTGACATGGTGCTGGTTGACATGGCATGCATGCCCGGGTTGACATGGTGCTGCAGGAGCCGCTCGCCTACAACCGGGTTGACCTGGTGCTGGAGAAGCCACAGGGCCAGGCCAGGGTTAACTTGGGGCCCGCCCAGCTTGCTAGTGCCATGCCTGGGTTGACATGGTGCTGCAGGACCCGCCTGGGCAGAACCGGGTCAGCACTGGCCAGGAAAAGCAGCATGCAGCTGAAGTCGGCTTCCCATGCGCTGCTGGGGACGGGAGGAGGCCAACCAGGT